AAGATGAAGGTGGGGATGGAGATGAGGATGATGATGGAGGATGATGAAGATGAGGATGTGGATGGAGGATGATGAAGATGAGGATGGGGATGGAGGATGATGAAGATGAAGGTGGGGATGGAGATGAGGATGATGATGGAGGATGATGAAGATGAGGATGGGGATGGAGGATGATGAAGATGAAGGTGGGGATGGAGATGAGGATGACAATGGAGGATGATGAAGGAGGATGAAGAGGATGAGGATGGGGATGGAGGATGATGAAGATGAAGGTGGGGACCATGGTGGCTCCAGTGCAGGGCCAGGGCTGGGGATGAGGATAAGGATGAAGATGATGAGGATGAAGCTGAGGATGAAGGATGAGGATGAAGATGCAACTGAGGATGAGGATGGGGATGGGGACGTGGTGGCTGCGGGCAGGGGGCCATGGCCAGAGCTGGGGATGAGGATAAGGATGAAGATGATGAGGATGAGGATGAAGATCAGGGTGCAGATGAAGATGATCAGAATGAAGATCAGGATGCAGATGAAGACAAGGATGAACATGAAGATGATGAGGATGAGGATGAAGATCAGGATGAAGATGAAGATGATGAGGGTGCAGATGAAGATGATGCGGATGAAGATCAAGGTGCGGATGAAGATCAAGGTGCAGATAAAGACAAGGATGAAGATGAAGATGATGAGGGTGCAGATGAAGATGAGGGTGCAGATGAAGATGATGAGGATGAAGATGATGAGGGTACAGATGAAGATGATGAGTGAGGATGAAGATGAAGATGATGAGGATGAAGATCAGGGTGCAGATGAAGATGATGAGGGTGCAGATGAAGATGAAGATGAGGGTGCAGATGAAGATGATGAGCATCAGGATGCAGATGAAGATGATGAGGGTGCAGATGAAGATGATGAGGGTGCAGATGAAGATGAAGATGATGAGGATCAGGATGCAGATGAAGACAAGGATGAAGATGAAGATGATGAGGATGAAGATGAAGATGATGAGGATGAAGATCAGGGTGCAGATGAAGATGATGAGGATGAAGATCAGGGTGCAGATGAAGATGATGAGGGTGCAGATGAAGATTAAGATGATGAGGATCAGGATGCAGATGAAGATGATGAGGGTGCAGATGAAGATGATGAGGGTGCAGATGAAGATGAAGATGATGAGGATCAGGATGCAGATGAAGATGATGAGGATGAAGATCAGGGTGCAGATGAAGATGAAGATGATGAGGATCAGGATGCAGATGAAGACAAGGATGAAGATGAAGATGATGAGGATGAAGATGATGATGATGAGGATGAAGATCAGGGTGCAGATGAAGATGAAGATGATGAGGATCAGGATGCAGATGAAGACAAGGATGAAGATGAAGATGATGCGGATCAGGGTCCTCTGGCAAAGCCCACCGGATGAGGATGATAACGGGGATGAAGATGAAGGATGACGATGATGACGTTGATGATGACGTTGATGATGACGATGAAGATGCCCACAGTGGTCCACGGCCATGGGGGGGGGTGCTGGTACCATCACCCCCAGGCCGCCAGGGGGCAGCAGAGCCCCCTCCGCCTCCCCGCGCATGCGCCTCGCCGCGGCGTCCGCCCCGCCCAGCTGAGTGCGGCCACTTCCGGGTGGCCGCCGCTGCGGAGACACGTGAGGCAGCGCCTGTCACGTGACCGGCGGGGAGGTGAGGGGCCTGTGGGGTCTGGGTCTCGTTGTGGGTCAGTCTATGGGTCACTAAGGGGGCTCTGTGGGGCTCTATGGGGCTCTGTGGTCTCTATGGGGCTCTATGGGGCTCTATGGGCTCTCTGTCTCGTTAAGGGTCACTGTGGGTCAGTCTGTGGGTCACTAAGGGGGCTCTGTGGGCTCTATGGGGCTCTGTGGGGCTCTATGGTCTCTATGGGGCTCTGTGGGGCTCTATGGGCTCTCTGTCTCGTTATGGGTCACTGTGGGTCAGTCTATGGGTCACTAAGGGGGCTCTGTGGGCTCTATGCGGCTCTGTGGGGCTCTATGGGCTCTCTGTCTCGTTAAGGGTCACTGTGGGTCAGTCTATGGGTCACTAAGGGGGCTCTATGGGGCTCTATGGGCTCTCTGTCTCGTTAAGGGTCAATGTGGGTCAGTCTATGGGTCACTAAGGGGTCTTGTGGTCTCTATGGGGCTCTGTGGGGCTCTATGGGCTCTCTGTCTCGTTATGGGTCACTGTGCGTCAATCTATGGGTTACTAAGGGGGCTCTGTTGGCTCTATGGGGCTATGTGGGGCTCTATGGGCTCTCTGTCTCGTTATGGGTCACTGTGGGTCACTAGGGGGTCTCTGTGGTCTCTATTGGTCACTATGTGTCTATGGGGCTCTGTGGGGCTCTATGGGCTCTCTGTCTCGTTATGGGTCACTGTGGGTCAGTCTGTGGGTCACTAGGGGGTCTCTGTTGGTCACTATGTGTCTGTGGGGCTCTGTGGTCTCTATGGGGCTCTGTGGGGCTCTATGGGCTCTCTGTCTCGTTATGGGTCACTGTGGGTCAGTCTGTGGGTCACTAGGGGGTCTCTATTGGTCACTATGTGTCTATGGGTCTCTGTGGTCTCTATGGGGCTCTGTGGGCTCTGTCTCGTTATGGGTCACTGTGGGTCAGTCTGTGGGTCACTAGGGGGTCTCTATGGTCTCTATTGGTCACTATGTGTGTATGGAGCTCTAGGGTCTCTATGAGTCTCCATGGGCTCTGTCTCGTTATGGGTCACTGTGGGTCAGTCTATGGGTCACTAGGGGGTCTCTACGGTCTATATGTATCTCTATGGTCTCTATGTGTCTGTGGATGTCTATGGGTCTCTATGAGGTCTCTATGGATCTCTGTGGGGTCTCTATGAGGCCTCTATGGATCTCTGTGGGGTCTCTGGGGGTCTCTATGGGTCTCTCTATAGATCTCTATGGGGTCTCTCTGGATCTCTATGAGGTCTCTATGGATCTCTATGAGGTCTCTATGGATCTCTATGGGGTCTCTGTGGGTCTCTATGGGTCTCTCTATAGATCTCTATGGGGTCTCTCTGGATCTCTATGAGGTCTCTATGGATCTCTATGAGGTCTCTATGGATCTCTATGGGGTCTCTGTGGGTCTCTATGGGTCTCTCTATAGATCTCTATGGGGTCTCTATGGGTCTCTATGAGGTCTCTATGGATCTCTATGGGGTCTCTATGGATCTCTCTGCTCCCTCTCTGGTCTCTCTGCTCCCTCTCTGGTCTCTCTGGGTCTCTGTATGCATCTCTATGGTCTCTCTGTGGTCTCTGCTCTCCCTGCTCTCTATGGGTCTCTCTGTATCTCTCTACTCTCTATGGATCTCTGTGGGGTCTATGAGGTCTCTATGGGTCTCTGTGGGGTCTCTATGGGGTCTCTGGATTTCTATGGGGTCCCTATGGATCTCTATGGGGTCTCTATGGGTCTCTGTGGATCTCTATGGGGGTCTCTGTGAGGTCTCTGTGGGTCTCTATGGGGTCTCTATGGATCTCTATGGGGTCTCTATGGGGTCTCTATGGGGTCTCTATGGATCTCTATGGGGTCTCTATGGGGTCTCTATGGATCTCTATGGGGTCTCTATGGGGTCTCTATGGGTCTCTATGGGGTCTCTATGGATCTCTCTGCTCCCTCTCTGGTCTCTCTGCTCCCTCTCTGGTCTCTCTGGGTCTCTGTATGCATCTCTATGGTCTCTCTGTGGTCTCTGCTCTCCCTGCTCTCTATGGGTCTCTCTGTATCTCTCTACTCTCTATGGATCTCTGTGGGGTCTATGAGGTCTCTATGGGTCTCTGTGGGGTCTCTATGGGGTCTCTGGATTTCTATGGGGTCCCTATGGATCTCTATGGGGTCTCTATGGGTCTCTGTGGATCTCTATGGGGGTCTCTGTGAGGTCTCTGTGGGTCTCTATGGGGTCTCTATGGATCTCTATGGGGTCTCTATGGGGTCTCTATGGGGTCGCTATGGGTCTCTATGGGTCTCTATGGTCTCTATGGATCTCTATGGGGTCTCTATGGGGTCTCTATGGGTCTCTATGGGGTCTCTATGGATCTCTCTGCTCCCTCTCTGGTCTCTCTGCTCCCTCTCTGGTCTCTCTGGGTCTCTGTATGCATCTCTATGGTCTCTCTGTGGTCTCTGCTCTCCCTGCTCTCTATGGGTCTCTCTGTATCTCTCTACTCTCTATGGATCTCTGTGGGGTCTATGAGGTCTCTATGGGTCTCTGTGGGGTCTCTATGGGGTCTCTGGATTTCTATGGGGTCTCTATGGATCTCTATGGGGTCTCTATGGGTCTCTGTGGATCTCTATGGGGGTCTCTGTGAGGTCTCTGTGGGTCTCTCTGCTCCCTCTCTGGTCTCTGTTGGGTCTCTATGAGGTCTCTATGGATCTCTATGGGGTCTCTATGGGGTCTCTATGGATCTCTATGGGGTCTCTATGGGGTCTCTATGGATCTCTATGGGGTCTCTATGGATCTCTATGGGGTCTCTATGGATCTCTCTGCTCCCTCTCTGGTCTCTCTGGGTCTCTGTATGCATCTCTGTGGTCTCTCTGCTCTCCCTGCTCTCTATGGGTCTCTCTGTATCTCTCTACTCTCTATGGATCTCTATGGGTCTCTGTGGGGTCTATGAGGTCTCTATGGGTCTCTATGGGGTCTATGAGGTCTCTATGGGTCTCTATGGGGTCTCTATGGGGTCTCTGGATTTCTATGGGGTCTCTATGGATCTCTGTGGGTCTCTATGGGATCTCTATGAGGTCTCTATGAGGTCTCTATGGGATCTCTATGGGGTCTCTATGGGTCTCTGTGGGGTCTGTATGGGTCTCTCTGCTCCCTCTCTGGTCTCTATGGGGTCTCTATGGGTCTCTCAGGTCTCTATGAGGTCTCTCTGGGTCTCTATGAAGTCTCCATGGGTCGCTATGGGTCTCTATGGATCTCTATGGGCCTCTCTCTCCCTGCTCTCCATGGTCACTCTCTCTCCCCCCTCCCCTCCCCCCAGGCCATGTCCCAGCGCCCCCCCCCGGGGCTGGTCCCGGGCGAAGCCTCCGAGAGCGACTCCGAGGCGGAGCCTGCGGTGGGGGGCGGGGCCGGCTCCAAGCTCCCGGGCGAGGCCTCGGAGTCCGACGAGGAGGAGACGGCGGGAACGACGACTGCGCCCCCTGGCGGCGGGGCGGACCCTTCGCTGCTTCAACTGCGCCTGCGCGCTGGGGCTCGGCGCCTCGGGGGGGCGGTGGCGCGGGCGGCGCGGGGCGGGTTCGCGCGCGCGGGGCGTGGCGCGGGAGCGCTGGGGGCGGGGCTGGCGCAGGCGCAGTTGCGCGCGGCCGCCGCCGCCCACTCCCTGCGCGCCGCCCGCGGGGACCTGCGCGCCCTGGCGGCCGCTCTGGGCATCGTGAGCGCGTGCACGCTGCTGCCCGACGTGCGCGACCCCGGGGGCGGGGGGGCTGCGGTACCCGGGGCTGCCGGCGGGGGGAGCTGCGGTGAGAGGCGCTGCTGTTAATGGAGCTGCAGTACCCGGGGCTGCCGGCAGGGGGAGCTGCAGCGAACGGAGCTGCTGTTAATGGAGCTGCAGTACCCAGTGCTGCCGGCAGGGGGAGCTGTGGGTAATGGAGCTGCAATACCCTGGGCTGCCGGCAGGGGGAGCTGCGGTTAACGGAGGCGGCCGCTGGGGGAGCTGCGATACCCGGTGCTGCCGGCAGGGGGAGCTGTGGTTGGCGGGGCTGCAGTGCCCATCGCTGCCGGCAGGGGGTGCTGTGGTCAATAAAGCTGCAGTACCCCGTGCTGCCGGCAGGGGGAGCTGCAGTGAGCGGGGCTGCAGTTCCCATCGCTGCCGGCAGGGGGAGCTGCAGTGAATGGAGCTGCAATACCTTGGGCTGCCGGCAGGGGGAGCTGCGGTGAGAGGCGCTGCTCTTAATGGAGCTGCAGTACCCGGGGCTGCCGGCAGGGGGAGCTGTGGTTTACGGAGCTGCAATACCGTGTCCTGCCGGCAGGGGGAGCTGTGGGTAAATGAGCTGCAATACCCAGTGCTGTTGGCAGGGGGAGCTGCAGTGAGCGGGGCTGCAGTACCCTGGGCTGCCGGCAGGGGGAGCTGCAGTGAGCGGGGTCTGGCCGCAGGGGGAGCTGCAATACCCGGTGCTGCCGGCGGGGGGAGCTGCGGTGAGAGGCGCTGCTGTTAATGGAGCTGCAATACCCCGTGCTGCCGGCGGGGGGAGCTGTGGGTAATGGAGCTGCAATACCTGGGGCTGCCGGCAGGGGGAGCTGTGGTTAACGGAGCTCTGTTAATGGAGCTGCTGTTAATGGAGCTGCAGTGCCCATTGCTGCCGGCAGGGGGAGCTGTGGTTAATGGAGCTGCGGTACCCTGGGCTGCCGGCAGGGGGAGCTGCAGTGAGCGGGGCTGCAGTGGCCATCGCTGCCTGCAGGGGGAGCTGTGGTTAATAAAGCTGCAATACCCAGTGCTGCCGGCAGGGGGAGCGGTGGTTAATGGAGCTGCAGTACCCTGTGCTGCCGGCAGGGGGTGCTGTGGTTAATGGAGCTGCAATTCCGTGTCCTGCCGGCAAGGGGAGCTCTAGTTAAAGCTGCAATACCCCGTGCTGCCGGCAAGGGGAGCTGTAGTTAAAGCTGCAATACCCCGTGCTGCCGGCAGGGGGAGCTGTGGTTAATTTAGCTGCGATACCTGGGGCTGCCGGCGGGGGGTGCTGCGGTGAGAGGCGCTGCTGTTAATGGAGCTGCAGTACCCGGGGCTGCCGGCAGGGGGAGCTGTGGTCAATAAAGCTGCAGTACCCCGTGCTGCCGGCGGGGGGAGCTGTGGTTGGAGGGGCTGCAATACCCGGTGCTGCCGGCAGGGGGTGCTGTGGTTAATGGGGCTGCAATACCGTGTCCTGCCGGCAGGGGGAGCTGTGGTTAATTTAACTGCGATACCCAGTGCTGCCGGCAGGGGGAGCGGTGGTTAATGGAGCTGCTGTTAATGGAGCTGCAATACCTTGGGCTGCCGGCAGGGGGAGCTGCGGTTAACGGAGGTGGCCGCTGGGGAGCTGCAGTACCCCGTGCTGCCGGCAGGGGGAGCTGCAGTGAGCGGGGCTGCAGTGCCCATCGCTGCCGGCAGGGGGAGCTGTGGTTAATGGAGCTGTGGTTAATGGAGCTGCAATACCCCGGGCTGCCGGCAGGGCGAGCTGCAGTGAACGGAGGTGGCCGCTGGGGGAGCTGCGATACCCGGGGCTGCCGGCAGGGGGAGCTGTGGTTAAAGCGGCAATACCTTGGGCTGCCGGCAGGGGGAGCTGTGGTTAATTTAGCTGCGATACCCGGGGCTGCCGGCAGGGGGAGCTGCAGTGAGCGGCGCTGTGTGCAGGGGGCACCAGAGTCACTGCGGTGGCACCGGAGCCATCGTGGTGGTACCAGGGTCTTCATGGTGGTACCAACATCACTGTGATGGCACTGGAACCATCGTGGTGGCACCAACGTCCTCAAGGCATCGGGGTCTTCGTGATGGTACCAACGTTACCGTGGTGACACCGGAACCATCGTGGTGGTACCAACGTCTTCATGGTGGTACCAGCATCCCTGTGATGGCACCGGAACCATCATGGTGGTACCAATGTCCTCAAGGCACCAGGGTCTTCATGGTGGTACCAACGTTACCGTGGTGGCACCGGAACCATCGTGGTGGTACCAACGTCCCTGTGATGGCACCGGAACCATCGTGGTGGTACCAGTGTCCTCAAGGCACCAGGTTCTTCATGGTGGCACCAATATCACTGTGATGGCACCAGGACTCTTGTGGTGGCACCAGAGCCTTCACGTGGTACCAATGTTCTCAAGGCACCAATGTCTTCATGGTGGTACCAACGTTACCGTGGTGGCACCGGAACCATCGTGGTGGTACCAACATCTTCATGGTGATACCAACATCAGTGTGATGGCACCAGGACTCTTGTGGTGGCACCAGTGACTTCACGTGGCACCAAGGTCCTCAAGGCACCAACGTCTTCATGGTGGTACCAACATCACTGTGATGGCACTGGAACCATCATGGTGCTACCAACGTCCTCAACGCATCGGGGTCTTCACCGTGGCACCACCATCACTGTCAAGGCACCAGGGTCTTCATGGTGGTACCAACGTTACCATGGTGGCACCGGAACCATCGTGGTGGTACCAACGTCCTCAAGGCATCGGGGTCTTCATGGTGGCACCAACATCACTGTCAAGGCACCAGGGTCTTCATGGTGGTACCAACGTTACCATGGTGGCACCAGAACCATCGTGGTAGTACCAACGTCCTCAAGGCATCGGGGTCTTCATGGTGGCACCAACATCACTGTGATGGCACCAACATCTTCATGGTGGTACCAACATTACCGTGCTGGCACCGGAACCATCATGGTGGTACCAACATCCTCAACGCATCGGGGTCTTCATGATGGTACCAACGTTACCGTGGTGACACCGGAACCATCGTGGTGGTACCAACGTCCTCAACGCATCGGGGTCTTCATGGTGGCACCAACATCACTGTGATGGCACCAGAACCATCATGGTGGTACCAGCATCCCTGTGATGGCACCAGGGTCTTCATGGTGGTACCAGTGTCACCGTGCCAGCACTGGAACTATCGTGGTGGTACCAATGTCCTCAAGGCACCAGGGTCTTCATGGTGGCACCAACATCACTGTAATGGCACCAGGACTCTTGTGGTGGCACCAGTGCCTTCACGTGGCACCAACGTTCTCAAGGCACCAGGGTCTTCATGGTGGCACCAACATCCCTGTGATGGCACCAGGGTCTTCATGGTGGTACCAATGTTACTGTGGTGGCACCAGAACCACCGTGGTGGTACCAACATCTTCATGGTGATACCAACATCACTGTGATGGCACCAGGACTCTTGTGGTGGCACCAACGTCTTCATGGGGGTACCAACGTTACCGTGCTGGCACCGGAACCATCGTGGTGGTACCAACGTCCTCAACGCATCGGGGTCTTCACTGTGGCAACAACATCACTGTCATGGCACCAGAACCATCATGGTGGTACCAGCATCCCTGTGATGGCACCAGGGTCTTCATGGTGGTACCAACGTTACTGTGGTGGCACTGGAGCCATCGTGGTGGCACCAACGTCTTCATGATGGTACCAACGTTACCATGGTGACACCGGAACCATCGTGGTGGTACCAACATCCTCAACGCATTGGGGTCTTCACTGTGGCACCAACATCACTGTCAAGGCACCAGGGTCTTCATGGTGGTACCAACGTTACCGTGGTGGCACCGGAACCATCGTGGTGGTACCAACGTCCTCAAGGCATCGGGGGCTTCATGGTCATACCAACATCCCTGTGATGGCACTGGAGCCATCGTGGTGGCACCAACGTCTTCATGGTGGTACCAACATCACTGTGATGGCACCGGAACCATCATGGTGGTACCAACGTCCTCAACGCATCGGGGTCTTCACCGTGGCACCAACATCCCTGTCATGGCACCAGGGTCTTCACGGTGGCACCAACATCACTGTGATGGCACCGGAACCATCGTGGTGGTACCAACGTCCTCAAGGCATCGGGGGCTTCATGGTGGCACCAACATCACTGTGATGGCACCAACATCTTCATGGTGGTACCAACATTACCGTGCTGGCACCGGAACCATCATGGTGGTACCAACATCCTCAACGCATCGAGGTCTTCATGATGGTACCAACGTTACCGTGGTGACACTGGAACCATCGTGGTGGTACCAACGTCCTCAACACATCGGGGTCTTCATGGTGGCACCAACATCACTGTGATGGCACCAGGACTCTTGTGGTGGCACCAGTGACTTCACACGGCACCAACGTCTTCATGGTGGTACCAACGTTACCGTGGTGGCACCGGAACCATCGTGGTGGCACCAACGTCTTCATGATGGTACCAACGTTACCATGGTGACACCGGAACCATCGTGGTGGCCCCAACGTCCTCATGGTGGTACCCACGTTACCATGGTGACACCAGAACCATCGAGGTGGCCCCAACGTCTTCATGATGGTACCCACGTTACCATGGTGACACCGGAACCATCGCGGTGGCCCCAGCATCCTCAAGGCCCCAGGGTCCCCATGGCACCGCCCCCGTCCCCCCCATGGTGCCCCCAGGACCGTTGTGGCTTCCCCATCGCCGCGGTGCCGCTGCTGTCCCCATGGGACCCCCATCCCCTTGGTCCCCATTGTGGGACCCAATAAAGCTCTTGGGGGGGGGTCCAGGTGTCACCCAGGCTATGGGGACAATGGAGCCCCCCAGCGCCTGCCCCACATGGACATGGGGACACCCAGGGACCCCCCCCCAAGGAACAGGACACGTGTGGGGCCACCAAGGGTTTATTGTGGGGACGCGTGCGCCATGGTTCACTATGGGGGGGCCATTGGGGTGTCACGTGTGGGTCCCAAGAGGCTCCCATTGGTTGGGGGGGGGGGTCACAATGGGGTCTACATTGGTCCGGGGGGGGTGTCACGTGTGGGTCCCAGGGGGATCCCATTGGCTGTGGAGGGGTCTCATTGGTCACATGTGGGTCCCGGGGGGCTCCCATTGGTCACATGTGGGTCCTGGGGGGGTCCCATTGGTCACATGTGGGTCCCGGGGGGCTCCCATTGGTCACATGTGGGTCCCGGGGGGGGGCTCCCATTGGTCACATGTGGGTCCCGGGGGGCTCCCATTGGTCACATGTGGGTCCTGGGGGGCTCCCATTGGTCACATGTGGGTCCTGGGGGGGGGCTCCCATTGGCCACATGTGGGTCCTGGAGGGGATCCCATTGGTCACATGTGGGTCCTGGGGGGCTCCCATTGGTCACACGTGGGTCCCGGGGGCTCCCATTGGTCACATGTGGGTCCGGGGGGGGTCCCATTGGTCACATGTGGGTCCCGGGGGGCTCCCATTGGTCACATGTGGGTCCCGGGGGGCTCCCATTGGTCACATGTGGGTCCCGGGGGGGTCCCATTGGTCACATGTGGGTCCTGGGGGGCTCCCATTGGTCACATGTGGGTCCCGGGGGCTCCCATTGGTCACGTGGGTCCTGGGGGGCTCCCATTGGTCACATGTGGGTCCCGGGGGCTCCCATTGGTCACATGTGGGTCTGGGGGGCTCCCATTGGCTGCTGGGGGGTAACATCCTGGCCATGACCTCCTGCAGCGCCCGCAGCCGCGCGTCGACCTCAGCAAGTTCAGAGTCGTGGTGGGGCTCTGGGGGGGGCAACGGCACCAGTGGGTGCCAATGGGCATCAATGGGTGCCAATGGGTGCCAATGGGTGCCAATGGGATCCAATGGGTGCCAATGGGCATCAATGGGTGCCAATGGGCATCAATGGGTGCCAGTGGGTGCCAATGGGCATCAGTGGGTGCCAATGGGCATCAATGGGTGCCAATGGGCATCAATGGGTGCCAATGGGTGCCAATGGGCCAATGGGTGCCAATGAGCATCAATGGGTGCCAATGGGCATCAATGGGTAACAATGGGCATCAGTGGGTGCCAATGAGCATCAATGGGTGCCAATGAGCATCAATGGGTGCCAATGGGCATCAATGGGTACCAAGGGGTGCCAATGGACATCAGTGGGTGCCAGTGGACATCAATGGGTGCCAATAGGCATCAATGGGTGCCAATGGGCATCAGTGGGTGCCAATGGGCATCAGTGGGTGCCAATGGGCATCAATGGGCATCAATGGGCATCAATGGGCATCAGTGGGTGCCAATGGGCATCAGTGGGTGCCAATGGGATCCGATGGGTGCCAATGGCCATCAATGGGTGCCAATGGGCACCAATGGACATTAGTGGGCATCAATGGGTACCAATGGGTACCAATGGGTGCCAGTGGGCATCAATGGGCACCAATGGGATCCAATGGGCACCAATGAGCTCCAATGGGCACCAATGGGCACCAGTGGGATCCAATGGGCACCAATGGGCACCAATGGTCACCAATGGGCACCAATGGGCTCCAATGGGCACCAATGGGCACCAATGGGATCCAATGGGCACCAATGGGCACCAATGAGCTCCAATGGGATGCAATGGGCTCCAATGGGCACCAATGGGATCCAATGGGCTCCAATGGGATCCAATGGGCACCAATGGGATTCAATGGGATTCAATGGGCACCAATGGGCTCCAATGGGATCCAATGGGCACCAATGGGCTCCAATGGGCACCAATGGGATCCAATCGGCTCCAATGGGCACCCATGGGACCCAATGGGATCCAATGGGCTCCAATGGGCTCCAATGGGCTCCAATGGGCTCCAATGGGATCCAATGGGCACCAATGGGCTCCAATGGGATTCAATGGGCGCCAATGGGCACCAATGGGCTCCAATGGGCACCAATGGGATCCAATGGGATCCAATGGGCGCCAATGGGCTCCAATGGGCTCCAATGGGCTCCAATGGGCACCAATGGGATCCAATGGGCACCAATGGGATCCAATGGGCACCAATGGGATCCAATGCGATCCAATGGGCACCAATGGGATCCGATGGTCACCAATGAGCTCCAATGGGCACCAATGGTCACCAATGGGCTCCAATGGGCACCAATGGTCATCAATGGGCACCAATGGGATCCAATGGGATCCAATGGTCATCAATGGGCACCAATGGGATCCAATGGGCACCAATGGGATCCAATGGGATCCAATGGGCACGAATGGGATCCAATGGGATTCAATGGGCACCAATGGGCACCAATGGGATCCAATGGGCACCAATGGTCATCAATGGGCACCAATGGGATCCAATGGGCACCAATGGTCATCAATGGGCACCAATGGGATCCAATGGGCACGAATGGGATCCAATGGGATCCAATGGGCACGAATGGGATCCAATGGGATCCAATGGGCACCAATGGGCTCCAATGGGATCCAATGGGCACCAATGGGCTCCAATGGGATCCAGTGGGCACCAATGGGATCCAATGGTCACCAGTGGGATCCAATGGGCACCAATGGGATCCAATGGGATCCAATGGGCACCAATGGGATCGAATGGGCTCCAATGGGCACCAATGAGCTCCAATGGGATCCAATGGGCACCAATGGGATCGAATGGGCTCCAATGGGCACCAATGGGCTCCAATGGGATCGAATGAGCACCAATGGGCGCCAATGGGCACCAATGGGCGCCAATGGGCACCAATGGGCTCCGATTGGTCTAAAAGGGGGGCGGACCCCCCCAGTGCACATGGGGGGTAAGGGGGGGGGCCTCACCTTTACTGGGGCGCTTGGTTGTGGGGGGCTTGCAGGAGGTCACGCGCTGGCCCTGGGGGGGGAACACCGCTGTCAGCCCATAGCCTGCTATGGGGCACCCCATGGATGGGGGGGACTATGGGGCACCCCATGGATGGGTGGTTATGGGGCACCCCATGGATGGGGGGGGGCTATGGGGCACCCCATGGGTAGGGGTTGTTATGGGGCACCCCATAGATGGGGGGGGCTATGGGGTACCCCATGGATGGGGGGGGTTATGGGGCACCCCATGGATGGGGGGGGGCTATGAGGCACCCCATGGATGTGGGGGTTAGGGGCACCCCATGGATGGGGGTGGGCTATGGGGCACCCCATGGATGGGCGGTTATGGGGCACCCCATGGATGGGCGGTTATGGGGCACCCCATGGATGGGATGGGCTATGGGGCACCCCATGGATGTGGGGGGGTCTATGGGGTGCCCCATGGATGTGGGGGTTATGGGGCACACCACAGATGGACGGGCTATGGGGCACCCCATGGATGTGGGGGTTATGGGGCACCCCATGGATGGGGGGGGCTATGGGGCACCCCATGGATGGGTGGTTATGGGGCACCCCATGGATGGGGGGGGCTATGGGGCACCCCATGGATGGGGTGTCTATGAGGCACCCCATTGATGCAGGGGTTATGGGGCACCCCATGGATGTGGGGGTCTATGGGGCACCCTATGTATGTGTGGGGGCCTATGGGGCACCCCATGGATGGGACGGGCTATGGGGCACCCCATGGATGGGCGGTTATGGGGCACCCCATGGATGGGTGGTTATGGGGCACCCCATGGATGGGCGGTTATGGGGCACCCCATGGATATGGGGGTCTATGGGGCACCCCATGGATGGGGGGGGGTTATGGGGCACCCCATGGATGGGGGGGGGTTATGGGGCACCCCATGGATGTGGGGGGTTCTATGGGGCACCCCATGGATGTGGGGGTCGCTCTGGGCAGCACTCACCGCCCTGGCCCCATTGCAGGTCAAGGTGCTGAGGGGTCTCCGGCCATGGGGGGTCCTCCTGTCAATGGGGGGGCCCCATTTAAAGGGGGCTCGGGGGGGCCCCAGTGTCCTCCCCCCCCCCTGACCCATAGCGGGGTTACCTCTGGCGCTGGGGGGGGTCCTCAGCCCCACTGCCTGAGCTCAGCCCCGAGCGGCGGCTCCGGCAGCTCTCGGCTATGGGGAGATGGGGGCGATGTAAACCACCCCATAACCACCACACTGCGCCCCACTGCGCCCCATAACCACCCCAGTGTGACCCATAACCACCGCACTGTGCCCCACTGCGCCCCACTGCGCCCCATAACCACCCCAGTGTGACCCATAACCACCCCATAACAACCCCAGTGCGCCCCACTGTGCCCCATAACCACCCCAGTGCGCCCCATAACCACCCCACTGCACCCCATAACCACCCCAGTGCGCCCCATAACCACCCCATAACCACCCCAGTGTGACCCATAACCACCCCATAACCACCGCACTGCACCCCAGTGTGACCCATAACCACCCCATAACCACCCCAGTGTGACCCATAACCACCCCATAACAACCCCAGTGTGACCCATAACCACCCCATAACCACCCCAGTGTGACCCATAACCACCCCATAACCACCCCAGTGTGACCCATAACCACCCCATAACCACCCCAGTGTGACCCATAACCACCCCATAACCACCCCATAGACACCCATAACCACCCCATAACCACCCCATATCACCCCATAACCACCCCATATCACCCCATAACCACCCCATAACCACCCCATAGACACCCATAACCACCCCATAACCACCCCAGTGTGACCCATAACCACCCCATAACCACCCCAGTGTGACCCATAACCACCCCATAACCACCCCAGTGTGACCCATAACCACCCCATAACCACCCCATAACAACCCCAGTGTGACCCATAACCACCCCATAACCACCCCAGTGTGACCCATAACCACCCCATAACCACCCCAGTGCACCCCATAACCACACCAGTGTGACCCATAACCACCCCATAACCACCCCAGTGTGACCCATAACCACCCCATAACCACCCCAGTGTGACCCATAACCACCCCATAACCACCCCAGTGTGACCCATAACCACCCCATAACCACCCCAGTGTGACCCATAACCACCCCATAACCACCCCAGTGTGACCCATAACCACCCCATAACCACCCCAGTGTGACCCATAACCACCCCATAACCACCCCAGTGGGACCCATAACCACCCCATAACCACCCCAGTGTGACCCCCCATAACCACCCCATAACCACCCCAGTGTGACCCATAACCACCCCATAACCACCCCAGTGTGACCCATAACCACCCCATAACCACCCCAGTGCGCCCCATAACCCCACCCCATAACCACCCCAGTGTGCCCCATACCCCACCCCATAACCACCCCAGTGTGCACCCATAACCCCAGTGCGCCCCATAACCACCCCATAACAACCCCAGTGTGACCCATAACCACCCCATAACCACCCCAGTGTGACCCATAACCACCCCATAACCACCGCACTGCGCCCCACTGCGCCCCATAACCACCCCAGTGCGCCCCATAACCACCCCATAACCACACCAGTGTGACCCATAACCACCCCATAACCACCCCACTGTGCCCCACTGCGCCCCATAACCACCCCAGTGCACCCCATAACCACCCCAGTGCGCCCCATAACCACCCCACTGTGCCCCATAACCACCCCACTGCGCCCCACTGCACCCCATAACCACCCCATAACCACCCCACTGTGCCCCATAACCACCGCACTGTGCCCCATAACCACCCCACTGCACCCCAGTGCACCACATAACCCCCCCAGTGCACCCCATAACCACCCCACTGCACCCCATAACCGCCCCATAACCACCCCACTGCACCCCATAACCACCCCACTGCGCCCCATAACCACCCCACTGTGCCCCATAACCACCCCACCACACCCCATAACCACCCCATTGCACCCCATAACCACCCCATGGCACCCCATTGTGCCCCATAACCACCCCATAGTGCCCTATAACCCCCCCACCACACCCCATAACCACCCCATAGCACCCCATAACCACCCCACAACCCCCCCATAACCACCCCACAACCACCCCATAACCACCCCATTGTGCCCTATAACCCCCCCACCACACCCCATAACCACCCCATTGCACCCCATAACCACCCCACAACCACCCCATAGCACCCCATTGTGCCCTATAACCACCCCATTGCACCCCAAGTGCTGCCCCATAACCCCACCCACCCCATAACCACCCCATTGCATAACCACCCCATTGCACCCCATAACCACCCCATTGCAATCCATAACCCCCATAACCCCATCCCCATAACCCCCCCATAGCACCCCATAACCACCCCATAGCACCCCATAACCACCCCACAACCACCACCCCATTGCACCCCACAACCACCCCATTGCACCCCACAACCACCCCATTGCACCCCATTGTGCCCTATAACCCCCCCACCACACCCCATAACCACCCCATTGCAATCAATGGGGCTGCCCCATAACCCCACCCCCTTACAAACCACCCCATTGCAATCAATGGGGCTGCCCCATAACCACCCCATGCCCCATAACCACCCCATAGCACCCCACAACCACCCCATAGCACCCCACAACCACCCCATAGCACCCCACAACCCCATAGCACCCCATAGCACCCCATAACCACCCCATAGTGCCCCATAACCACCCCATTGCACCCCATAGTGCCCCATAACCACCCCATAGCACCCCACAACCACCCCATAGCACCCCATAACCACCCCATAGTGCCCCATAACCACCCCATAGCACCCCACAACCCCCCCATATCACCCCATAGCACCCCATAACCACCCCATAGTGCCCCATAACCACCCCATAGCACCCCACAACCCCCCCATATCACCCCATAGCACCCCATAACCACCCCATTGCACCCCATAGTGCCCCATAACCACCCCATTGTACCCCACAACCACCCCATTGCACCCCATTGCACCCCATAACCACCCCATAACCCCCCATAGCACCCCACTCACCCGAGGAGCTGCGTCCCCGGCTCCTGGCGGGGCTGCTGCTGCCGCCCCCTGCCCCACGGCGCTGGCTGCCCCCATAGGAATCAATGGGTCACGGGGGGGTGGGGCTAAGGCTGGGACCCCCCCCCCCCCCCCCCCCAAGTCACCACCTACTTGTGGGGCTGGAGCTGCTGCTGCCGCCGCTGCCGGGCCCGGACAAAGGCAGTGGGGTCAAAGCGGGGTGGGGCTGATGGGAAGAGGGGATCATGGGGGTCCCAGCCCCATGGAATGTGTGGGTCCCAGCCCCATGGCATGTGTGGGTCCCAGCCCCATTGCATGTGTGGGTCCCAGCCCCATTGCATGTGTGGGTCCCAGCCCCATGGAATGTGTGGGTCCCAGCCCCATGGAATGTGTGGGTCCCAGCCCCATGGCATGTGTGGGTCCCAGCCCCATTGCATGTGTGGGTCCCAGCCCCATGGAATGTGTGGGTCCCAGCCCCATTGCATGTGTGGGTCCCAGCCCCATGGCATGTGTGGGTCCCAGCCCCATTGCATGTGTGGGTCCCAGCCCCATGGCATGTGTGGGTCCCAGCCCCATGGCATGTGTGGGTCCCAGCCCCATGGCATGTGTGGGTCCCAGCCCCATTGCAGGTGTGGGTCCCAGCCCCATTGCATGTGGGTCCGAGCCCCATGGAATGTGTGGGTCTCAGTTCCATGGCATGTGTGGGTCCCAGCCCCATAGCATGTGTGGGTCTCAGCCCCATTGCATGTGTGGGTCCCAGCCCCATGGCATGTGTGGGTCCCAGCCCCATGGAATGTGTGGGTTCCAGCCCCATGGCATGTGTGGGTCCCAGCCCCATTGCAGGTGTGGGGCCCAGGCCCATGGCATGCGTGGGTCCCAGCCCCATTGCATGGGGGTCCCAGCCCCATTGCATGTGTGGGTCCCAGCCCCATGGCATGTGTGGGTCCCAGCCCCATGGAATGTGTGGGTCCCAGCCCCATTGCATGTGTGGGTCCCAGCCCCATGGCATGTGTGGGTCCCAGCCCCATGGAATGTGTGGGTCCCAGCCCCATGGCATGTGTGGGTCCCAGCCCCATGGCATGTGTGGGTCCCAGCCCCATTGCATGTGTGGGTCCCAGCCCCATGGCATGTGTGGGTCCCAGCCCCATGGCATGTGTAGGTCCCAGCCCCACGGCATGTGTAGGTCCCAGCCCCATTGCATGTGTGGGTCCCAGCCCCATTGCATGTGTGGGTCCCAGCCCCATGGAATGTGTGGGTCCCAGCCCCATTGCATGTGTGGGTCCCAGCCCCATGGAATGTGTGGGTCCCAGCCCCATGGCATGTGTGGGTCCCAGCCACATGGAATGTGTGGGTCCCAGCCCCATGGCATGTGTGGGTCCCAGCCCCATTGCATGTGTGGGTCCCAGCCCCATTGCATGTGTGAATCCCAGCCCCACGGCAGGTGTGGGTCTCAGCCCCATGGAATGTGTGGGTCCCAGCCCCATTGCATGTGTGGGTCCCAGCCCCATGGCATGTGTGGGTCCCAGCCCCACGGCATGTGTGGGTCCCAGCCCCATTGCATGTGTGGGTCCCAGCCCCATGGCATGTGTGGGTCCCAGCCCCATTGCATGGGGGTCCCAGCCCCATTTCATGTGTGGGTCCCAGCCCCATTGCATGGGGGTCCCAGCCCCATGGCATGCGTGGGTCTCAGCCCCATGGAATGTGTGGGTCCCAGCCCCATAGCATGTGTGGGTCCCAGCCCCATGGAATGTGTGGGTCCCAGCCCCATTGCATGTGCGGGTCCCAGCCCCATGGCATGTGTGGGTCCCAGCCCCATTGCATGTGTGGGTCCCAGCCCCATGGCATGTGTGGGTCCCAGCCCCATGGAATGTGTGGGTCCCAGCCCCATGGCATGTGTGGGTCCCAGCCCCATGGAATGTGTGGGTCCCAGCCCCATGGAATGTGTGGGTCCCAGCCCCATTGCAGGTGTGGGTCCCAGCCCCATGGCATGTGTGGGTCCCAGCCCCATAGCATGTGTGGGTCCCAGCCCCACTGCATGTGTGGGTCCCAGCCCCACGGCACGGGGGTGCCCCCATTCACCTGCAGGGGATGGGGACCGCGATGTGGGGCGCCTCTCTCGGGACCCCGGAGCTGCGGGCGCCCTGTGGCTGTCAATGGGAGCAGAGCATGAGGCGACCCCTGCCCCACACTTATGGGGTGCCCCACAGCGCCCCCCAGCCCCATCTCACCCCCTCCGGCTCGACGCCAGCTCTGCTGTGAGGGTCTGGACCCGAAGCTTGAGCCGCTGCTCCGATGCCTTCAGCGCGTCCAGCTGGGATGGATGGGATGGGATGGATGGGATGGATGGGATGGGATGGGATGGGATGGGATGGATGGGATGGGGGATGGATGGATGGATGGATGGGATGGATGGATGGGATGGATGGGATGGGGATGGGATGGGATGGATGGGATGGGATGGATGGGATGGGATGGGATGGATGGATGGGATGGGATGGATGGGATGGATGGATGGATGGATGGGATGGATGGATGGATGGATGGATGGATGGGATGGGATGGATGGATGGATGGATGGATGGATGGATGGATGGATGGATGGATGGATGGGATGGATGGATGGGATGGATGGATGGATGGATGGATGGATGGATGGGATGGATGGATGGGGATGGGATGGATGGATGGATGGATGGGATGGATGGATGGATGGATGGATGGATGGATGGATGGATGGATGGATGGATGGATGGATGGATGGATGGATGGATGGATGGATGGATGGATGGATGGGATGGATGGATGGATGGATGGATGGATGGATGGATGGATGCATGGGATGGAATGGGATGGATGGGGTGGATGGAATAGATGGGATGGGATGGATGGGATGGATGGGTTGGCTGGGATGGATGGGTTGGGATGGGATGGATGGGATGGGATGGATGGGATGGATGGGATGGGATGGATGGGATGGATGGGATGGGATGGGATGGATGGGATGGGATGGGATGGATGGGATGGGATATGGGGGGATGGGATGCAGGGGGATGTGGGGGGATGGGATGAGGATCCCTTTCCCACCATCCCCCACCCCTGGCACCAGGACCCCCCCAGACCCTGACCCCGGAGCCAACCTGGGCCTGGAGCTCCCGGTGCCGGCGCCGGAGCTCGTCCTGGCAGCGCCGCTTCTCCTCCAGCGCCCGCTGCAGCCTGCGGGGACGCGGGGACAACGGCAGCGCTGGAGCCTGCGGCCCAGAGCCCAGAGCCCAGAGCCCAGAGCCCAGACCCACATCCCACATCCCACATCCCCCACACCCCACATCCCACACCCCACACCCCACATCCCACATCCCCCACACCCCACATCCCACACCCCACACCCCATATCCTGCATCCCACACCCCACATCCCATACCCCACATCCCACACCCCACACCCCACATC